CCTTGTTGCTCAGGCCAGGTTTCTACATAAGTTCAGTAAAGATTTATTGAGAATCTACATTGGGTTACACATTACAGATAACAGAAGAGAGCAGGACACAAGCTCCGGTTAAAAGAGGATTTTTGTCTACTTTTAGAGTATTTGACACAGAGGCCTACACTTCTTTTTGAAAGTCTTTTTAAAAAAATACATTTTATTGATTTCAGAGAGGAAGAGAGAGAGAGATAAAAACATCAATGAGGAGAAAAAAAAAATCGTTGATCAGCTGCCTCCTGCACTCACCCCCCGCCCCAATGGGGGATAGAGCCCACAACCAGGGCATGTGCCCTGACTGGGAACCTAATGGCGACCTCTTGGTTCATAGGTCAGCACTCAACCACTAAGCCACGCTGGCTGGGCCTTTTTGAAATTCTTTCTTTTGCTTCCATGAAATCTTCTACTTATGAGATAGTTCACCTTGAACTTTGTTGGTCTCTGATAAATAAAAGTTTGGTATAAAAAAAGAAATTATGGGTGGTATAACTAGAAAGCTTTGCAGACATTTATAGATGGAGATTTTTAGATGTCTTGATAACTTTATATGAGCTAAAATTATATAATTTTCATAATATATTGTATAATATGATTTAATTTAATTACCTCTTTAGATTTAATTAAGACTGTATACAAATGTAATAAGCAATATTCAGAACAGGCATCAATAAAGAAGCATATATATTTACTGATATTTAATATGTGAATGATGATTATGTTATCTATATGTGAATTTTGATTGATTAATTTCCAGTTAAAGATATCTTTCTGAGACTATCTACATGAAAAACACACACACACTTTTTATACATACTATTATACTACTAAATTCAATGAGATAAAATGCAGAGGGACTATTTCATTCTTACATTTTCATAAATATTTAAAGGAAGTACTATTAAACATGCTCATATTAATTTGCACTACATATTTTTAAATTAAAAAATGCACATGAAATATTGGTTGGTGTATAACATTATCTGACAGTTATAAACTCTGGTTTAGTAGTAATAATGACCCTTTAGTAATCTGTGTTTTTAACTATAATTTCTGGCTTTTTAACATTTGGAATATTTTTGTTGTTGTTAATCCTCACCTGAGGATATTTTTTCCATTTATTTATTTATTTTTTTTAGAGAAAGAGAATGGAGGCTGGGAGAGAGAAAAAACATAAAAAACATAAATGTGAGGGAGACACCACGACTGGTTGCCTCCCACATGCAACCTGACGGGCCCAGGGATTGAGCCTGCCACCAAGATACATGCCCTTGACCAGAATCGAACCTGGGACCTTTCAGTCCACAGGCTGATGCTCTAACCTAGGGGTGTCGAACTCAATCAGAGAAGGGGCCAAAATCTAAAATCCAGCCCAAATCGCGGGCCGAATGGTTTACTGAACAGTCATAAACTGTCATTGTGATGGAAACGCAGTGGAGTGCAGTGATGACAGCGCGGTGCGGGCCACATTGCAAGGCCTGGTGGGACCGATTTGGCCCGCGGGCCTTGTGTTTGACACATGTGCTAACCACTGAGAAAACTGGTGAGGGCAATACTCTTTTTGATCCAATGTATATCATTTAGTGGAAGATCCATGGACTTTCCCTTTCCTGCAGGAGGTGGCTAAGAATCATGCCTCCTGAAAATGTGTGCCCTGAGTCTCACTAGTTCTCTTAGTCCTTCTCAAAAAACTCTGGATATGTTGCTAAATTTACCATAACAATCTTATCAGGACAAGAGAGTCATTGCTTTTATTCCTATTTGAACTTTTCCCATCATCCTTTATGATTGAAGTGCTTCTGCTAATGTACTTAGCTATGGGGTAGGGGTGAGAGTAGGGAAGTGATCTTTTCCTTCCTTTTAAAATCATGAAAGCCCTAGCTGGTTTGGCTCAATGGAAAGAGTGTTGGCCTGTGGACAGAAGGGCCCGGGGTTCAATTCTGGTCAAGGACACATACCTCAGTTGCAGACTCCTCTCCTTTAAAATCATGTGTTTCTATCACATCGATGTGATGTTTCCGCTCTCTTCCACTCTCCCTGAAAGTCGATGGAAAAATATGCTCAGGTGAGGGGTGAAGATTAACAACAAAAAACCACAAAGGAAAATTCAGAATATACCTTGTTTTTTCTAAGAACCTACAAAGAGAGTCTGGTTAACTAGTCTATCTGAGTGATCAACAGCTCCTTCCTCCCACCCCATATTTCTGCCTTTCCCTATTCCTCCACATACAAAAGAATTTGTAATCAGCCTTTTCTTAGTTTGATCTTACAGTAAATATGAATTGTCAGGTAATAAATATTTAACTTTTGAGGAGTGGTTTTAGAATAAAAAAAACCTAAACAACAACAAAGCAAACTTGAAACTCTTCTAGAAAGAAAAGAAAATGAAACATTTTCTGTAGTATTATTTCCATAGCCATAGAATAACTGGAAAACTAGAAAGAACTTCTAAAATTTGGGCTATAAGGGGTCAATGGGAGGGAAAAAAGGAGACATATGTAATATTTCCACAATAAAAGTTAAAAAATAAAAATATAATAAACAGAAAGAAAGCTAAAGCTAATAAGACAGCTTAGAAAATAAAACCTCAAAGAAGACAAAGATGAGTTTGATAAAGAAAGAAGAATAATTGAGATTCAACCACTGGTACTCCAATTATTCAGGAAGTTGATGAAATAGCATTTAGAAAAGGATTCAATTCAGGTTAATGGAAAATCATACAAATGAAAAATTATTAAGTAACAACTCTAGGAAAATCAGACATGCATATAATAAAGAGAATGTCATAATATACTACTTAACTAGGCAGTGAGTGATACTTGTTTAGTAATAACCTATTGACTATTTTATAAATGATATAACTTAATAAATCAGGAAGTTGGGAATGGAAGAAATAGAGGTTTCAGGGAGAAAATCTTCAATTACCACAATGGGATATCAAGAGATGATATGTGTAATATTGGACTTGGCAAACAGTGAAAGAATTACATTTCCTATATACTAGCATATGGAATGATGTGAAATTTGTTTTAATCCCGGAGCCAGGTCTGAGATGTTAGTTACAAGGGACTTCTATTTATCTTTATAGTGCTCTTAGTGCTCTCTGAGTTTAAAAAGAAGGAAATAAACCTCTTAGAATGTTATCAAGCTGATAAAAAATTTTAAAAAGCAGAAAAAATAGCTCATTCTAGTTACTGGTTATGATTAAGTTTCTTTGGAAGAATGTACAAGTAAACAGAATGGTAAACAAGATGCTCTGTGCTAAATCTGAGCAAAATGCATGACTCATGCTATTTTACTTAATTTGGTGTTGAAGCCATTTGCTGTTGTTCTACTTTAATTTCCATGTTTCCTGCTACGCATGGGAAGATCCTCCAGATAAAAATGCAAGTGAGCTTCTTTCTATTGAGGGTCTGGGGGTGACACTTGGATTCAAGCCCCAAAGGAGAAAGAGGCTTCCTCAGAGTGGGACTGAGGCTGAGGGCACTCTTCCTCTCCTGGGGGAAACAGAAAGCATCCTTACAGAACCTGACGGAGGCCTTATGTGATTGTTTTCCAGCTGGAAATATTTTGAATCGTTAGAACGTCAGACTAAATCAAATGTAAATAAGGAGAAGGTACAGGGTTATCATATGGTTAATCTCTGCTAATTGCCAGGCACTGTACCAGGTATTCTATGCACTTTTTTTTCTAATCATAAACTTTTGATTTTTAATTTTAAACTTTTGTTTTTATCCCCACTCCCCAGAGGAAAGGAAAAGACATTAAGTGATTTTTCCAGTGTTTGTCAGAGATACGATGACACTGCAGATTTGTTTGACCAAAATCACTTTTAACTGTATCTTGTTAACCTCCTAGGTATACTGTAACTAACATATCTTCAAAGACAAATATAAGTAGTGTGAGGTCTACATACCGTTTTGGTTTGTTTATGTTATGATTGCCCCAGTGTGCTGACTGAGTTAGCTGCAGAGGGTTTGGATTGCTGAAGCCCTTATGTCCTGGAGTGGACCCTTTACCACTATGATGATGGCAGGTGGGAGGAGAGAGGACTTCATGAGGTCTCCACATTAAATAAACTTGAAATGGAAAGATGGACTATTTAATATTTCAGTCCTTATAACTGGATGATGGAGAAAAAAATATTCCCATTTAAATTGGTCTCTAAGATTTACTGATCCTATATAATAAAAGGCTAATATGTATCGATAAATTGACTGACTGGCAGAATGATGGGTTGCTATAACGTGCACTGACCACCAGGGGGCAGGCGCTCACCGCAAGAGCTGCCTCCTGGTGGTCAATGTGCTCCCACAGGGGATGCACTGCTCAGCCAGAAGCCAGTGCTAAGGGTCCCCCAGCGGGTTGTCAGGCTGCCAGCTTAGGTGGACATCCCCTGAGGGATCCCAGACTCCGAGAGGATACAGGTTGGGCTGAGCCTCCCCCACCCCCCACCCAGTGTACAATGTCATGCACCAGGCCTCTGGTATCCTTCAAAAAAAAAGTGGCTACTCAGGTTTATCAGCTAAAGAAGTGTATCAAGGTAAAATTTAATAAATAGTTTGTGGCATTTTTTTTATGGTTACTGCATATTATAGCAATTATAGTAGCAATAGATTTTTCAAAAATAACAATATTTAATTAAAAGTATTCAGTAAATAATGACACTTATGTGTAGACTTAGAAAAAAAAAACTTGTGAAAGCAGTAACCAAATTACTGTAATTTGGGAAATAACAATTTCAGATATTTTTCTCTGTCTTCTTGTCTTCAGTGCTAATAAGCTGTAGAATAAGCAGACAGAGACACCAGGGGATCTTAGTACAAAACAGCTAGGGAATAATGGGGTTTGGCATCTCTCTCTTAGCAGGTAAGATTTCCCTTCCCTTCTTCCCTCCCCCCTTCCCTGCCTGCCTCCCACCTTTTTCACCTCCTTTCGTAAGAGTAATTTGCGGCATGTTGTCTTCGCAGGTACAAAGCCATTGTAAACCCCATGGACATCCAGGCGTCAGGGGCGGTGCTGTGGACCTGCGTGAAGGCCGTGGGTATCTGGGTGGTCTCGGTGCTGCTGGCGGTTCCCGAAGCCGTGTTTTCGGAAGTGGTGCGCATCGACAGCTTGGATAACGGCAGCTTCACAGCGTGCATCCCCTACCCTCAGACTGACGAGTTACACCCGAAGATCCATTCGGTGCTCATCTTCTTGGTGTATTTCCTCATACCCCTTGCTGTTATTAGCGTTTATTATTATCATATTGCAAAGACCTTAATTAAAAGTGCACATAATCTTCCTGGAGAATACAACGAACATACCAAAAAACAGGTAAGCTCCGTGTGTGTGTGTGTGTGTGTGTGTGTGTGTGTGTGTGTGTGTGTGTGTGTTGGGGGTGCCCTGGTCAGCTGCAGTACTGCTATTTGGGTTCGATTTCATGGGTTCTCAATACCAGGAGGGATGATAACTGAGACAGAGGGCCCTGGGACATGCACTGGCCTTAACTGGAAGGGGCCTTAGGGGTGTCTAAGATGTAGCCGTGTCACAGCTCTGAAAAGTCCCACAAAGGTCCATCTACTGTGCCTTCTGGGCCTAAAATGATAAAAATGTAACATCTTAGAAGAGTTTATTTTACATGCAAGTGTTTATGCAAAGAACCACACATTGAAACAGAACATTTCCACATTTTAAGTATACATTTATTTAATTATTGTCTTCTCCCATTAGCCCACTAAGATAAGGACAACAGGGAGTCTGGGAGAAGGAGGAATCAGGAAAGAGCTGTCGGACACTGCCTGGGGCTGGGGATGAGGTTTGGGTAGGAGGCCACAGTGGAGAAGGGGCAGCAGAACAAGAGAATGATCAAAGGGAGGCTGGTGTTGAAGTCATGCTTGAAGTCATAATTCAATTTTATAGATTTTCCTATTCAGATTGTACATTAACTTGAAAATTGCAACATGTGCCTTACATACTCTTTCTTCCTTAAAGAAAATGCAGCCCTAATAGAAGGGAAATTTATGTTAATCCACAAAGGGATAGGAAAACTCTACTTATGGGACAAAGTTTCAAATTGTGCATTTGTGCACTCTCAGCGAGGACCATCTTCCAAAGGTGCAGGGAGGTTACAGGTAACTGTTCCCTAATTTGAATGAAGACACATCGAATGGCAGGTCATTGGAATTTGCAGGATTGTATATGGAGACATCGGCTGGGGCTTTGGGCACTTGGAGCAACTGCAGGATCTCATCAAGGTTTCTGGCTTGGAAGGTCGCCTCCATTTATTGATGACCGTCAACATCAGAGATCCACCTCTGCTTGAAAGCCTTAAAAAAATCAACTTAGCATTAAAATAATTTTTAGATACATTAATAGTTTTTCCACCCCTAAATATCTGGTATCATTGAAGCAACAATGTCCAGGTCATGCGCTTTTCCATTTTTATATAATTCTTTCACTCAGAGCCTGGGGAGCTGGTTTGTAGAGTTGGGTTCCTCTTACCCTCCCCACCATCATTTTTTTCATATTGGCCTTAGTTCTGCCATGTTTTTTATAAATTTCTCTAATGAGATTTATACACTCAGGCTGGGTAATTGTGCTTGACATCTGTTGAGAAGTAATCTCAATGCCAACAGCCTAACTGTGCTTTTGACTGCCCAAGTATAGATTGCCATGAAATTCTTCACACAAGCTCCACCTGCTAGGAAGGACAGGACTTAGTAATATAAATTTTACATTGACTTTCTTAATATTGCAGGGCCGCCTACCGTGCCCCAGGGAAACATCTGGAATGCCACGTTCTGCTTTCTAAACTACACTCCTTTGCACTCTCCTCCTCCTTAGCTGTCGCCACTAACTACTTCTCCCCTATGTCAGACCTGTTTGATTCCTAAACATTTCCAGCCTCCTCTGCCATATTCTAGTTGACTACCCTTAGTTTTAGCTCATGTTGCTTATTATCAATATCTTTTGAGAAATTGTTATCACATGCATGTTGGCTTATTTAAATATTTGAACAAATCAGGCAAATATCAGCTAACCCTGGACTCTAGAATATTGGAAATGATATTTAGATTTCAAAAGATCAATGCCCAATATTTGAATTGTGTCTCTTTATCACATTCCTGAAAACCTGTCTATAAAGGAATAAACCCAGTATGTAAATTTTATGAAAATAAAGAAAACTATATATTCATTTTTAAAGGTAACTAACCTAGTAATACTTATTCACAGTTATGTCAGGTGTTTTGAATTTATGAGTCTGAAGTTAAATCCCAAGGATTTTGTGTATGTGCAGTAAGGGTTAAAAAAAGTTACACTTATTTTATTAGATGTAGTTTTCCTATTAAAATACCCTGATTTTAAAAAGAAATTCTAAGGTTGACTATATTCTATGATTCATTAATCCAGTGGATTTAATACAAATAGAAGAGGTTTATAATTAAAATGAACAAATCTAAAGGAAAGTATTTGAAAATAAGAGACCTTTTAAGATCACAGTTTTCACATAACCATTTCTTAATATTTTATTATCTAGACTTGTATAAACTGTAAAATGTTATGAATGAAACAGTGTAGTGACCACAATAGGCTTAATCAAACTGTTGAAACCATCCCATTGTTGAGGAAAACAAATAGTTTTGGTATTTTGGATGTGTTAACATGCTATATAAGTTTACCCCTATTATGTCATGAGTTTTGGATGTGGCTGTCTCCCCTTTCATTTTAACCAATGGGCCTTTTCCTTGTATTGCAGATGGAAACTCGGAAACGCCTGGCTAAAATTGTGCTGGTCTTCGTGGGCTGCTTTGCCTTCTGCTGGTTTCCAAATCACATCCTCTATATGTATAGATCTTTCAACTATAGCAAGATTGATCCATCTCTGGGCCACATGATTGCCACCTTAGTTGCCCGGATTCTGAGCTTTTGCAATTCTTGTGTCAATCCATTTGCCCTGTATCTACTCAGTGAAAGCTTCAGGAGGCATTTCAATAGCCAGCTCTGTTGTGGAAGGAAGTCCTATCCAGAGAGATCAGCCAGCTACTTAGTAAGCTCTTCGGCAGTGCGTATGACATCTCTGAAAAGCAATGCTAAGAACCCGGTGACCAATTCTGTTTTGATAAATGGACACAGCATGAAGCAGAAAATGGCACTGTAATTTTGGCCATGCAGCTTACTACCTGGAAATATCTTTCTTGCTTTATTTCTATTGAGTAGAATAAAACTAAACAATTTTCTTTCTTAATATTCCTGAGCGAATTCATTAGACAATTTATGATTGACTTAGGAAAGGCAAGACAAACATACTTAGCATTTTTCTCTAAAAAGAACTTTAAATTACAAATATATATGTATATACATATTGTTAACATTAAAAGGGATTCAAACACCAGATCTGCATGAATATAAATCAACATTGCTTCAGGATTTAAGCTGTTGCTAGAGCCAATGCTAAGTGTTACCTTAAAATTGTTTTAAGTTGAAGCAGGCAATACATTTTTATATTGACTCAATGATTTAATGAGTTTAATATTCAAATTCCTAATATTTGAAATACAAATCATTTTTGGTGAATTTTATGTATATTTAACGCATGTATCTATTTCCTTTGTTTAAATAAGATAATTGAAAATCCAAAGATAGAGTTCAATCAGAAGCCAATATTTATTGTGATTCTTTGTGAGATAAAGCATGATTTCTAGAAATAACCTATCTGTAACTTTTAGGTTTGCAGGCATTTATATCACAAATAGTAAAATAGAGGTCACCTGAATAAGATTTACATTATGAATGTAAAATAGGTATCATATGTTCCAAATGTAAAACTGTGACACAAAAATTGGCATGGCCTTTTTAAAAATTTAATATATTGCTGAATCCCTGGATATTTGGATAATTCTGTATAGCTATGATAAGATTTGTGTAATTCTGGTGAGTTCATCCACCTACTCATCTTTTCTTGTAACAGCCACTTTACAAGGCAACTTTACCCTGCATGGCATTATAGTTTTCTCTGAATAAAAGTCTTGGATTTTTTTTTGCCAAAATAAAAAGATGGTCTTCATTAAATTCTAAAGCTAGCCCTTCTTAGTCTGATCAATAAGTCTAATATTTGAATTCATGTATTTCATATTATTTCTCTTTCCAAAATTGTTGAGTAGAAAGAAAACTTGGTTAGTATACTAAGCCATTTTTTAAAGAACCCTAACCTACACTATTTAAAATGCTCAATTGTATGTAACAAAGGTAAAAATAAACACATACAAATTGCCTATGATAGTTGATAATCATGAGAATGAATATTAATCAAATGTTTTCTCTGTTCTAAGCTTAATCCTAAAGTTTTACATATATAATACTATCATTTTAATACTTCAAAAACAACAACAACAACAACAACAACAACAAAAAACAACTCCTGAGGTGAAAAAAAGAAGGATTCAATATTGGTAGTGTATGAAGTTACACAGTTTGGAATGTCTCCATTACAAAACACACTATGTTGCAAATTTTACAAAAATACTTGATGATATGAACACATTTCCAAGGCTTTGAATTTAAGCTTAATAGATTTAATAGTAAATCCACTTCCGAAATATGTTTTGTTATTATCTTTATTTTTAAAATTATTGCAAAATGTAGTGAAGATTACACAGCCATTGAAAGGTGGGATTTCAGACTGGTTACTATACCATGGTGCCTGCACCCACCACCATTCAGTCATGGCTTTCTTTTGTCTTGAATAGTTATTCTCAATCATTGAGAAAGTTGTAGATCCATTCATCAGAAAGATGCAAGATATTGCACACAAATTTTGTATTGACTCTGGGTATTATACATTTTTAAGATTCATCTATTAAGATTTAAAGAACCAAGGCTAATCCTTGGCCAATGTGGAATCTTTTTTTCTTGATGATATTACATTGATGATATAAATATAAATATTATATATATATATGTATATATATATATATATGTATATATATATTACTATTTATTTTTGAACTATTTATTTCTGAGCATTTAAAGATTTTATTGTTCTTCTTATTAAAGAATAACATAAAAGAAATAACCCCCTAAATTTATTAGTGAAATCAAAATACAGGAGCAAATCAAACTAATCATGCATATTAGAGTATAACAAAAAAGCCAAATTCCAAATCTGGTCCAAACATAGAATGAAATGAAATAGAACTTTAAAAAAGTAATTAATTTCCTGATTTATGTAAGTCAATCTAATGGTGTCTTGAGTCAAGAAAAGGTTATGAGAAAACCTTGGCTAATATGGTAATATCTTCCATAATGGAGGGAGATATCACCAAGTTATAATTCTTAATGTAAGAATAGGATTTATCCTTTCATGTCAATTTTCTCTTTAAACCAGGAGTAGTTGAAAAGAACTACAACATGATAGGATCCTTGGAATGTTTGGACTGGAGCATGTTCCCCCTTAAGGGTCTTGTCTATAAAATGGGTTAACATTTTGTTAAATTAGATACTGCATGTTAAGTATTCATTTGGTGCCTGACACATTAGTAAGTTTCCAGCAAAGGTAGCTTTTATCATCATGTTTTAAAGTTATTTTTCATTATGTACCAAAATAGTAATAATGTTTATTAAGCATTTACTATGTGCCAGATCCTGTGTTATGTCCTTCACAGGAATGCTCTTGTCAGCTCACAAGGCAGGCATTATCCTCATTCCAGTCCATGAAGGAGGAAAATAGGGGTAATAAGCAGGTAATATGAGGATGGAAGAGCCTGTTGCTGAACTCTTGTCTAACTGAATTTAAATTTACATATTGTTTTTAGAGTCAATACTTGCAGGAACCTGAAGTGTATATGATTCATTGGAAGACAGAAATAAGCATGTCAACATTTTTCCTCTCTGAGATGCAGATATTACCTGAAGATAAAGGATAAAAAAGAATGGTTCTCTTGAGTTTACTTTAGGTAATAATTATAAACTAAATTCCAGGTCACCCATGTGAATAACTTTACAAGCACAATTTCTTCCCCAAATTTGTTTTCCCATTTTGTGCTTGCTATATAAAAAGGGGGGAAGAGAATAATAAAAATTAATAGAACATTTTTTGATACCAAGGCAAATATTTAATTTGATTATTGCATGTTAGGACATGTTTTAAATTTTTATATGATTCCATAGAGCTGTTAAATAGTTAATGGATTTTGAACAACTATATTTTTTCCATTTAGTAATATTTTATTACTATCGATAGTTTCATTGCACACTTAGGAAATATTCCTATTAAGCTTCTGACAAGTGAAATGTTTCAAGCATCAGCCTTCTCTTAAAATAGAACAAGCATGTGCTCTATTTTAACTCCAAATAAATTTACCTATGTGCATATTTTACTCACATTATTTTCAAAACAAGAGGGCAAAGTGTGAGTAAATACGGTCAGTTTTGTTGCAGAAAGCAATATTTAAGTCATTCTGCAATCATTTAAATATTGCTTTCTGCAACAAAACTGAATGCTAAAGAAAGTCTGGCTTCCCTGTATCTTTAATGATTATTGGAGGAAGTGTTAACTATAGACAGTGGCTATTTTACACCATTTTATTTTCTAAATGATTTTACAAGGTTATTCCAAGAGCTTCATTTTTCCATATATTGTATTTGAAGTAGTGTGCAAAAAAATTTAACCAAGATTTCATTTCTAGAAACTAACTCTCCTCTTGGGCAATAAACATAATAATTACTCTGCATAGTAGAAAAAGAATATAGATTTAAACCACTTAGGGATTTAAAAAGTATGTTAATGATACTTAATAGAACTATTTGAAATGGGAAACCTGTAATCTTTTGAGGTATCTTAGCATTGTAGTTAAGCGAATCTAAAAGTGAAATACTTGAACATTTATATTATTTGCATATAACACAAAAATTTAACTGGAGAATATGAGCTTATGCTTAAAACTTCTAATTTTCTGATGAATGTTAGAAATGTAGCTATTTGCCTTGAGTGTGTGGTATTCAATTACATTCTTCAAATCAAAAAGTGTAAATGCTCAGCAGTATGACCCATTTTCTACCATTTCCATGTTTATTTATGTGCATGTATAATAAAGAAAAGGAGTATGTAAAGATGGGTCATTTTAATATGAACTTGTTGGACCTCCTAAGTTCTAGTTTTCAATGGTAAGGCTTCTTTACAGCAATGGAGAAAGAGTTTGGTGTCTTGCAGATACTTAATACAATCTAATAGGAAATTGAATTTAGTGATACTCTTAATTCATTTTAAAAATGCAAATTTATCCATATAACAAATTGCCAAGAGTAGTTTAAATGTTCAATTCAGTAAATCTCTTGGAATCAACAAGGACCATATACAAGTGTACAGTAGATTTCAGGTGTGAGTGATCTGCCTGCAGTAATTTCAGCCTAAGCTACAATATAACAAGCTGTCTAGAGTATTTAAAAATTAGAACTGGCTTCTCCTCTCCAGGCAGTTTTCCAAGAAGCATATTAATGAAGTGTATTACTGTTGGAAAAAATGATCTGGCTTATATGACTGCATAAGACAGGAAGATACATTTCTTTTGGAGAATTTATTATTAGAGTGAAATAAAAAATAGAAAATAAAGATACATGTTCAGACACTTTGGATGCTTCTAGTTTTTTATATTGACCTTAGTTTTAGAATACCATTTTGGCTTCTTTTTAATTAAGAAAATCAGGGATGAAAAAGTACATATTTGAAGACAAAAATCACAATGTTCTGGAGTTCAGTTCTACAGTCTGCTTAGAACACTATTTTGGTGTCCAGCAGAGAACTTCCCGTTTAAATCCTCTTGTAATTATATGCTTTCCAATACTATCATTTCCTAATACCATTCAAAATCTAAATATTACCATATGTGTAATTTTAGGTTAAGATAATTATATAATTTGTAACTTAAAACTAAAATCCTGCTAAGTACTTGAGAGGATAAACTTTCCAGGTGCAACTTGTAGAAGCAAGAAATAGAAAGGGAATTGGTGTCAGACTGTACGCAGTTTGAGAGGCACACCACCAATGGATTCTGTGTTGTAAGTCAAGGGCAATTGATGATATTGAGCAAAGGGATGTTTTAATTGGAGTTGTTCCTTCAGGTTATTAATATGAAAGGAACCTGGATAGTTTGCTGAAGGAAAAACAGTTAAAGATAAGATAGAGATTATTGCTCAGAGTAGTACAGATTAAAACTGGGAAGATTTGAACAAGGTAGGATCTTGAAAGTGGGAATCGAAAGAAGATGGTGAGTGCCAAAAATAATTTCAAGATAAACTGAGCCCTCGTGGTATTCAATGCAGTATATAGAGTTGAACTCGATACTTAGTCTTTCCTGTAATAATTGCCTGGATATAAGACTTCTGACTGGTACACTAGCCTTCTTATGGAGGGAACCTGTGAAGTAGACATTTTCTTGACCTGGAAGAAAGCAAGGGCACCCAGACTGAGACCCAACTTTCACACAGTGCAGAGAAATCTACGGGCATCACCAACTGCAGGTAAATGTGTGTAGCCTTGCTGGGTAAACTAACCAGATACAATTAGAAATGGATCAGAGGTGAGAGTTCATGCTGGGACAGCACTGATCAAGGAGCCAAAGCCAAGGGCTAACTATAGTATTTCAACTCTTCTCATAGGATCTGCAGTAAGTGCTTTAAAATCCCATTTTGGTCTTTGAGGCAAGTTGCCAGAGGCTAAGACCAACAAAGTAGTTAGCATAATTATTTGAGATGTCTGTTAGAAGGCTAATAGACTTTGTTATTCAGTAAGGGCTGAAAATCAGCATTGTATTACCCTGCTGCTGGCTGAATGGCTGAAGGCAATCCCCCTAATATGATAATCCTTTATTGTTTACCAAACTTTACCATTGATATGTCTGTTTGCTTTGCTAAAGGGAAAATGTAAATAAAAAGCAAATAAGTCCTGGCATTCAGGGGAGCTCTGCTAGAGAGGAAGGTCTCTGCTTGTTCCCCCCCCCCCCATGCCTTCTAAATTTATATTTCTTATCTAGTATATCCATTTATGTGCAGCCTCTTCTCCAGACCTTGAACTCTACCCATGCCAGTCATGGCCTCACAGTAAGTGGTAGTGATATTGTTCAAATAAAATAACAGTTTACTACTACCACTGCACATTATAATGCTCCATAATTACCTCAATTAATCTATTATTGATGAGCACACTCTAGCTCACATTTGGGACAGCCTACATAGAATCTTCCAATTC